CACTATGACAAAATCTGTCCCAGCCAAAACCAGCCTGTTAGCCAGTGCTGCCCAGGCCAAAAGCCAGTGGGGAGGGCTCATCCTGCAGGGATCCTACCTTGGAACCGGCCTCAGGTCTTGAGCTGGCTGCACTGCATAGCGTAGCAATGGGCAGCCTGCTGCTCGGTGAACCTTCTCCTCGTAGGGAGCTGCCACAAAGCATTTCAAAGATAAATGCCAGACTGATGTGTGACAGGTCTGTCATCACTCTGGCAGATAACCTGATCTCAGCATGGCTCAAAGTCCAGCAGAACCCCCAGACACACGCTCCCAGAGGCCATGCAGCAGCTCCCAGCTTGCCAGTCTGCATGGATGCTCTGTGCTCTGATACTTAGCAACCACTAGAGCTGTTTCAGTGGTGGTTGGAGGCAGTTTGGGGGCTGGGGCGGGCTGTGAAATTCCCCTCCTCCCTCCCAAGCCTCCTGATCATGCTGTCCTGTTTCTTGCAGACAGAGGCTTTGCAGCAGCTCCGGAAGGATTCGGAGAGCATCCGGAGCCGATACGCACACTACTTTGACCTCTCGCTAGTCAACAACGGGGTGGAAGAAAGCCTCCAGCTGCTGCAGGAAGCCTTTGAGCAGGCCTGCAACTCCCCACAGTGGGTGCCTGTCTCCTGGGTCTACTGAGAGGGCATCCGACCCCAGCCGCTTCCCATCAGCCATCCTGCAGCCGTGGGGAGAAACCTCCTCCTCAGCTTTCCCTGATCCACACAGAGCCCAGCACAGCTCCCTTCCTCTGCTGCTCCTCAGACATGGTCTCAAGTGGTTGACACACATAACAGGATCTCCAGATCCCCTCTCCCAAGGGAACACCAGACAGGGAATGCCCAGGGGACAGCTGCCTCCTGGGGTACCACAATGCAGTGCTAAGTTAGTGGCTACAGCCAAGCCCAGAGCACCCCCTTAGCTCAGAGCACAGCTCCCCACCTCGCTGGGCAGGGGAAAGCTCAGTCCTGCTGTAGCACCCAGATGATCTCTGCATCAGTCTCAAGGGAAGTGAAAGAGCAGAGGCTCTTTTATAGGTAGGCATCCCCTACCATGAGAGCACACTGCACCACAAACACCTCCAAAGCCTGGCTGGTGGCCACAAGTCTTCAAGGAAACCCACAGCTTAGGAGGCTTCACAGAGACCACACTGGAGCTCCTACACCTAAGGGTTTCCACTCACAAATGGGAAAGAGCAGGAAAAGGAGAGCATGGGGTTGATGATGGTGGCACAGAACATGCCAGTCCCAGGCAGGTCTCGCCCCATGTTCTGAGGTTGGAATTGTGTGATTCACCCTGTACAACTATAGCTGTAAAAACTCAAGTGTATTTAAAGCCTCACCGTGCAGCTTGGATTGTTAAATGCCTCAACAGCAGCCAAGGAAGTCCCATGGACCAAACCCCAGCGGGGCAGTCAGTCAGTGGGTAAATCTAGCTACAAGTATCTGTTGCATGCAGTAGAAACAGTGTCTCTACAAAGATCATCCAGGCATGTTTTCCCCAGTCTAGGGCGTACTTGCACACTGTATCTGAACATAAAAGCCATCCCTACAAAGGAGATCCTTCTTCTGCAGGAGTGTAGTGAAGCACAAACCCCACCGTGACCATGTCTGGGAAGCATCACCCTGGCTCCTGGGCAAACCACAGCCATCATTTAGGTGAAATGATCTCATTTATGTGTTCAGCAGACAGCTAAGGGAAAGGGGTGAAGAAGTCTTGTGCAATTCTTAAAGGATGCCAAAAATACAATCGATGTGCAATAGGGACCTTTGTTCTGATCCACTGCAGGGAAACAATGAGCAGCAATAAACGTGTGCTGAAACATTGCCACGACTGGTGTTTTACCTCTTACTCTGAGTACTTGCTCACAGCTGGAAGCCTATTCTCACCTCCCTGCCCCTAACACCCAAGGTTAGGCAGGCCAGCACAAAACAGTCCCTCCAGCTACCATCAGACCTCTCCAGCACAGGCAAAGGAGAAAATACCACCAGCACATGTACCAGTAGGTTTTACCCAAGTGGAGGGTGGCCCCAGAGCTCCTGTGAAGTCCTGACCAGCAAAAAAAGCCTCTCTGGTCATGGTCCACATCGGCATGACCCCTTCTCTGCACCAGCACCAGCCATTTCCCTGCCCTGCTGCAGCATGCTCATGCATTAAGCTGGCTCCCCTCCCCAGCAACAGACCACTGACCTCTTACAGGAGCCAGATGAGGAAGGAAATCACCCGTTCAAAAATAGGGATTTTATTTTTATGTAAAAAAAGAGTAAATAGAAATGGACTTTTTTCTTTCTGCTCAGGTTCTGACAGCCACCAGCTGCTGGCCCCACTGCCCGCGTGTATCTCTAGCATTGGAGGGGAGAGAATTCAGATGGCTTAAAGCAATGCATGAGGCTAAGACGAGCGTTACAGAATCTCTGCAGGGATGAAGCTCAGAACAAAGCAGCGTGAATCCTTCACACGTGGAAGGATCCCATTAAAAGGGGCTAAAATCTGGCTCAGCATTACCCCTGTGAGAGGAGAGAGACCTCCCACCCCCAGCGAGCCACCCCAGATAATGAATCAGGAGAAGAAACCACTCGAGGCCCTCAGCCAGTGCCCCCTTGCAGAGGTGCCTCTAGCCAAACTTTTCCTCATAAGGACTCCGGTCCCAACAGCCCTTTAGAACAGCATACTGGTCAGCTGCCTGCTGGTCACTTCACTTCTATCCCCCAGCAGCACCCCAATTTCCAGCCTTCCAGAGCATACTGGATATCAAAGCCATGGAAGGCAACTGGAAGTGTTGTAGTCCCATTTCAACAACTGGGTAGAGGACAGTGAACTGTAGCCAGAGGTACACACTGACAAGGTCCCTGGGGCACTGGGTCTGGGGATTTCAACAACTAACAAGCAGGTCCCCGCACTATGAAGCAAAAAGAAGGAATTTCATGTTCTAATCCCTTTATAATAAATTTTTAAAAAAGCACTGAGGAATATCTGGGTGGACTATTTGATTTCATCTAGCTGAGGGTGGAGCCAAACATATGGCCAGGTTAAAACAAGAGCCCTTCCAGTAACCAGTTTGACTGTCATTCATTCAGATGGGCCATGACAAAGCCAGTCCTCCAGACAGCAACATTCTGTAACTGTCGGGTAACAGCTCCAACCTTGGAAGAAAAAAGGAGGAAAGAGGCAGGACAAGAGGAGGGAGAAACATTATTCCTCCCTCTCAAGGTGAAATCAGAGACACTGAGTAAGAGCCAGGAGCTGCAGCTTCCCTGAAGATACCACTTCTATTGGCATCATGGTGTTCAACTTTAGAGAGCAATCCAGCGCAGGGGCAGTGAGGCATCCCGCTCCTCTGGTGACCCTTAAAACAGGATGAGGAGGGGTACCTGAGCAGGGCAAATCCTGGGCAAACACACCCGCTCACACGTATACACAGCAGAAAAGGAACCTGGAACTTGCTGGTCCCTCTGCCACGCAGCCAGTCCTCTTTTTGTCAAGGCCTCAGGCTCCTCCCTCCCTGCTGAGGAGGTTTTCCTGCTTTGGACAGATCCAGTTGCTTACTCCGAGCTCTCTTCTACCTCCTTTTGTTTCTTCTTCTTCTTCTTCTTGGTGCTGGTCTCACTGGTCTGTGAAGAGGTTGGAGAGGTCAGGAAGGAATCAAAAAGGAATCCCTCACTGTTCATTTCAGTAGGAACAGTCCCACTCCAGATGCAGCGCAGGCTCCCCATGGCTGCAATCCTCTCTTCACCACCATACAAGCACTCAAGCACACTGACTGAATGTCAGCACTGAATGGGTCCTGCTGGGACCCATTAGAGGACATCAGAGCAGAGAGGCCTGGCAGGAACATGTACCTGTGCACAGCCCCAGGGCACAGACAGCTGCTCACCCCATCTCTGCCCCAAAAGCTTCACCTGCCCAATTTCCCACCACCCTCAACCAGTTCTTTCTCTGCCTGTGGGGAGCCTGGCACTTGGGGGACACACAGAGCAGGATGCTCATGCATTTGTCCTGCAGGGATTAGGGAGAGAGCAATCTCTTCCCCATGTCTGGACTGTACCACGGCAGCACCCAGTTACATACCACTTCTATTTGCTCTCCCCCACTCTCAGCTGCCTCTTTGGCTTTCTTCTCTTTCTTCTTCTTTTTCTTTTCCTTTTTGCTCAGCTCCTCTGGTGGGGGGGTGGCAGGGGACGGCAGGCTCACAGCCTCCTCGCTTTCACTCTCTGACTCTCTCTTCCTCTGTTAGGGAAACACGCTGTCAGACACACCACCTTCCAAAGCTGCTCAAATGATGGAAGAACTGTTTGCAAGCCCATTGTAGCTGATTCAATCAAACTACATGGTTAACAATGCTTTGAGCATACGCTGCCTAGGATTTGCTTCTACACCCCACATTTCCTGTACCCCAAATGCTGCAGAGTTTGAAACACTGCTGCACCTTCCCAAGCGCAAGCACAAGACCTGGCTTAGATCCTTATATGACAGCACAAGCCCTGACTTAGGGAACTTGAGGTGCAGCTCCTCCATGGACATTTCTGCAATTGACTGCAGTCTCCAGAAAGGTTCTCTGGCACAACAGGACCTCCACTGTGGTTCCATATAATGGATTTCCTTGGATGCTGCAGCTTGTACACCACAAATGAGAGCTCCTCATTTTTATACTGTGCTTGCAACCAAAGGACAACATCCCAGAGACAAACCCCTGGAAGGCCCTAAAAAGCTCACCCTACACACACAATACACTAGGCTCCCAGAATGTCTAACACCTTCCCCTGCAAAATAACCAACACAATCCAACACCTGATACCAACTGCCTTAAAGGAATAGATGCGTATCCACCCTTCATCAGGGCCCAAACAACCTTACAGCCAGAGGCTGTAAAGATACTCACTTTTGGAGCCCTCTCCGGCTCTGAAACAGCAGCTGCCTCTTTCTTGGAAGCATCCCTGAAAGAGAAGATCCCCATACTGAGCAGGACAGCCACCGCTCACACTGCTCTGTACGAGCACAAAGCCCTATCCCGCTGCAAGGGCTCTGGGGTGCCGGGTGGGAAAGCTGGTGTGGGGAAGACCTGCAGCCTGCACCAGGGTCAGACAGGCAGGGCAACAGCAAGGCTTCCCCCATTTAATTTAGCAGACTGACTCCCTCTAAAACCACAAGAACAGGCTAGAAAGGGATAACTGTCTGCTCAGGGCCTTTCCCTCCAGCATTGCCCATTAGCAGCATGTTCCATCCAAGAAATGCCACTGTACCCCACAGGTCCAGCCAGCCACCAGCTTTGTGCCAGTATGCTCCAAGCACAAACGGCAGCAGCCCAGCCCAGCCCTCGCTGCACTGGGCTCCCTTCTGCCTATCATGCAGGAGCTGTACCCACCTATAATCCACATACTCCTTCTTCCAGGAATCTGGTGTGCTCTCATTGGGCTTTCCGTGCTTGTCCAGCAGACCCTTCTGGATCATCATCTTCTTTTGACTGGCCTGAGAGTAACGTGCAATAAGTCAGACTGCAGCACCAGGAAGGAGAAATCCTCCCCAGGGCTGCATCCACTCAACCTAAGAGGAGGTAATCCAGGAACAAGCCAACAACGACAGCATTACTTATTTAATACTTCTCCCTACAGCAGCCTACAAGAAGGCATCTTCACCACTAAACAAAGGCTAATCTGAGGGGGAAGTAACAGCAGCAGGATAAGATGAGTCTGCACATTGTGGAGCTCAGATCTTTGATTGGTTTCTCCACCTTAGTGACCTCCTACATTTCAGCTGAACCACTCCAGCTGCAAACACAGGGCATTGCTAAAGACTCCAAGATGCTTGTACTGGCCTTCATCACCTCACAGTTGCTGTGAGCCTCTCCAGAGCCATCAGTATGGGGTGATAGATAAAG